ACGTAATAGAATAAACAACATAGTGTAGACACGTAATACAATATACCACCTTGTGTAAACACTTAATAGAATAAACAACATAGTGTACATACGTAATAGAATAAACAACCTAGTGTGAACACTTAAAAGAATGAACAACATAATGTAGATACGTTATAGAATAAACATAGTGTAGACACGCAATATAATAAACACCATAGTGTAGATACGTAATAGAATAAACAACATGGTGTAGACACGTAATACAATATACCACCTGTTGTAAACCCTTAATAGAATAAACAACATAGTATAGGCACGTAATACAATATACCACCTTGTGTAAACACTTAATAGAATAAACAACATAGTGTATATACGTAATGGAATAAACAACCTAGTGTGAACACTTAAAAGAATAAACAACATAATGTAGATACGTTATAGAATAAACATATTGTAGACACGTAATAGAATAACAACATAGTGTAGACATGTAATAAAATATACCACCTTGTGTAAACACTTAATAGAATGAACAACATAGTGTAGACACGTAATAGAATATACAACCTTGTGTAAACACATATAAACAGAAACGCAAAGGCTGTCAATATCGATACATTTTTAACGCGCACATATAAAGATATTCATCAACGAGTGATGATTGGTAACCATGTTTTTCTAACTCGAGTAATTTAATTTTCAAATCTTTTAAAGGCATAAATTTTACCGAGTGGCTTTTACATTTTGAAATTTAACTTGCGAGAGATAGCTAACATGATAATCAACCATCACAAGTTTAGGGACCTTCTTCTCCCACCTCTAAAATTACATCTAGAAAACCATGTCTCTCTTGGAAAACTGTATGCTGGTTCCGATCGGGGAAACAATTGCCGTGAAAATATGACGTCACAATTGAAGATGACGTCGTTAAGCATGATTACTTGACGTTATTAGGCGACTGGCCAATGAATTAACGTGTTCCAATGAGTCGAGGTTGGGTAAACCGAAAGTAGTTGTGGTAGAAATACTTTTTTACCAGTTATTAACTTAGAGTTCCATGTCCCAATACATATATAAAACTTATTCATTGTATAAATAAACTAATATGAATATCAATAAGGACCTTCGATAGATTATGATTGTTTGTTATTTATTCCCGTTCGGAAATGTACAAGTGTACCTAAGAGTTACAGTGAATATAACAGAGATGTAAACGCCGATCACGAACCTGATATTCTCTGTCTCACTTTACACTATATATATATATATATATATATATATATAAAATACAAATGGGGTCATGTCATTCCCAGTCGGGTTGTTTCATACTATTTAAGTGTAAAAAGAAATTATTCTTTTGTAAATAAAATACAACTTATATCAAGAAGATGACAACTATAATAGATACATAAATAGATAAATACAATAAAATAGAATGCAATATCGTTTTGTTTTTGTTTTACTAAAGTAAATTCAGTATACTAAAAGGTAATTCTTTTGAATAAGTTTACCAGTGTATATCGCTGACACCATAAAGCACTACCGAATTCTGAAAACATTCATTTTAGCATGGTACTGTTTTCATTTGGCATTCAAAGTGTTATTTGCATGCAAACAGGAAAATGCAAAACCCTTTAAGTGTGCAAACGGTTTTTGTTGAATTTGTCAAAATTATATTCATCTTAGTAGGTTTGTAAAGTGGCAATTACATGAAGTGAGGTATACATACCAGCATACCCAACGTTGCCGTTATAAATGGAACGTCAGATACCACTTTATTTATGGATTTTTTCCTATACAATATGTATGTAACCCGGTTAAATTAAGTCATACTCATACTACCCAGTGTTTTATAGCAAATTCCTTTCGACGCCCCAGAACAGTCCATTTTCCTCCATGTATACACCCCTGGTGCTAAAGGTATCCCGACACATTCTCCGGTGGTTCCGTTATCAAAGTTTGTGTACGTTTGCTGCACACCCTCGAATGTAGCACCGCTGGTAACGTTATAGTTCAGCCATATTTGGTAAATCCCTTGGTCACTGTTGATATAATACATAATAATGTACAAATTCCTCATTTCTGCAAAGTAAAACAGAAATTGGAACGGTATATCGTTTATTATTCTTTTAATGAAACGCCTTAATTACACTATATTTTTCAGAAAATATGTTTAATGATCCGGGGGAAAACTGATAATTCAATGTCCAACAATTCAATAAGTCTAAAAGGTATCATGGACGTTGCTATAGTTGACTGTTTATGATATCAGTTTATGATGAAGCGACTTTATTTTAAATATCTAATGCAGTAACATTAAAACAAAATACAAGAAATAATCTGGTCTAACGGAGTATGACAAAGGTATATTCATGCACCCAACTTACATTAAAGTCTTCGCAAGAGTGTTTTCCAGGTAGCTTTGAACTGTAGCATTTTCGATCGGAAACATGAGACCCCCTTGGTCTTTGCATATGTTTTGTATGCTGTCGAGGGTTTCTGTAGAGTTTACAAACCAAATGCACCAGTTCTTTGTGTTGTTCTGCATTAACAGCGAGTCCTCTGGACAAACAGAACACTCACACTGTCCTGGAGATACACACGATTCTTACATTATCATATAAATATACTCATAGATATGCATGATTAACAGCAAGATTGTTTAAAGACTCCGTTTTTTATGATATGATATAATTCGGAGAATATCTTAAGTATCGCTGTACTACTGCCTAAAAGTGCACCGACGCTTCGGAAACTTATTTTGCGGCATGCCTATATGTTTGATAAAGAATACATACCTTACGGGGAACTAAATATAAATAGAATAAATAAATAATTAACAACAGTGCTCTGAGCGTTAAAATGTCAGGGGGAAAAGTCCAGGATTCAAACTTTGGCTCTACTATCATATGCTATCGCTCCAACGAACCGAGTGAGATGTAACGAGTATCATAAGCCCGCCGCCTACATTTATAGCCAACGTTAGATCAAGACTGTATTGTTCGTTTCATTTGTTTCAACTACAAAGCTACTATATATATATATTTACTGAAATCATATAAACTTTGGCAACCTTAGGGGCTACTCTGCATGTTTGTTTCGATTTTAGAAAGACAGTTTCTAGATGAATGAAAGTTTCATAGTAGACATGGACACTGGGGGAAGCCCAGTAGGTCTAAACTGTATGTTTGTATACATTACCTGTGGACAGGTGAGCCTGACAGCTATATATAGACTTATATTGGTTACTTAATACAATAAGTATAAATGTGAAAAGTGAAACTGCAATCTCTATATCTGAATTGGGGTAAAAATTCAAAAATGTTGAATTTATAAGGCCATTGCATTTAAAGGTTTAGAAACAAACATACAGTATAGCCCAAACATTTGTAATTATATTGAAACATGTATCATGCCATCATTTATTTAGTATTCATATGTAGCAACATAAGTGTTAAGTACATTTCCTGGTGTAAAATACTGAGTGAAACCCTTCACCGTTATACATGACATAAGAAATCTTCAGAAAATTGAATAAAATATCTATGCAATGATCAAAACATCTTACTACATGTAATTATTCTAATCAATTTAACATATTAACCAGAACAACTTGTCTTTAACCGTAAGTTACTGTAAGTATAAATATCCAAAGCTTTACTGGGAAACTGTAAATGCGATAAAACATCGCTGTAATATGCAAGACAAATCAACGTAAGGAAAACTAAAAAATGATTAAGAAAATATAATTGAAACTTGGATCTGATCTGGGTTATGGATGCATGAATGTGATTTTTGGACCTGTGGGTTGAACAGCAGGTCTATCAAGTGGAATCTACTGAATAGAAATGTAAAATAGACCCAAGTGATACCACATCAGGTTTGACAGAACGAAAGAATTGAACTGATGACACTGATACTGAACATAAAAACATCAGGTATGGTGTGTAGAGCTAGTAGCTTTAAACAACCTGGCACTGAACCTGTGATTTTACACAAGAAAGAAAGCTGGGCTAGCTACCAACCATATTAGCTCAATGAAACCTGTGGTGAAGACAGCAGGTAGATATGCTCTGTAAGAAATGACTCGGTGAATACCGTGGATCTGAGGCGAAGAAATCGCCACTGAACCTGTGAAGCAAACAGTAGGTAAGACGGTTGATTATATCTGGGAGTATATAATACTAAACGAACGTACAGTAAGAGGCACACAATAAGTATTAAACTGGTAAACCATTAAGTTGACCTTGAGGAACAGCATCCCAAATGCCCTGATCATGAGTATAAACAGAATAAACAAGACATAGTGACATCAGCTTTCTAAATGAATTGACTCTGTGAACAACGTGCATTTGAAGAAAAGAGCGTTGCCACTGAACCTGTGAAGATAACAGCAGGTAAGACGGCATGATCAAAATTGGGAGTATACCACATTAAAACAATACTTCTTAGACAACCAATAGTTTACTCTGTTATACTATTAACTTGACATTGAGAGACCTCATCCAAGATGTAATGAGTACAAAACATACCATACAAGAACTCGTGATTAGATTGAATTCTTAATGAAAAGACTAAGTGAAACACGTGGATCATAACTTAATAGCTACAGTATACCACTGAACCTGTGAACAGCAGGTTAGACGGTATAAATGATAACATGTTGGATTATAAAACTTCAGTAAAAATAAGCAAAGATGCAAACATTGTATTAATCTGAAATAATTGACTTTGATTACCATGGATATGTTAAAATTAATGACAATAGAATCTGATTATAGCTGACATATAACATAACCACATTGTCTTCTCCATGGAGATAAACGGGGCTGGAGGGAGGGAGGGTCATCAAGATTGAGATGAAAATTACTGCCAGCCTCCAAAATCTTTTTGCGTAAACTGATGCTTAGCGTCACCTATCTAACTGACATTGATCATTAATGGTCACGTGATGTCTATAAATAGTTAGTATGATGACCTCATCTTTAACCATATGCAACTAAGCACATGGTAATCAAGTAATGACAAAATCTACTTAAAATTCAATTGATCTAATGATTTAAACACATGCATTCACATTATAAATTAACATCATCTACAACTAAAATACATAAAAATAAAAAGTATATGCAAACAATATCAATACCCAAAAATTAATAATTTATATTACAGTAATGAACTAACAATTTACAAAAAGTTATGCATCCTAACTCTGGAGGTCAAGGCGATAGAATACCTTAGATATAATTATTTGTATAAACTTAAATTAAATATTTTCAAATTATTCAGGGGAGGCCACTATATTCAGTATACATTTGAGTTCTTTAGTGTTTGCCTGCAGCGGGACGGTTGATCCTAAAATAGGGCATGTATTTGTTTGTGATACTCGAAACATTAAGTGATTCATGTCCCACTGCACTGTGGTCTTTTGTATAAACAGTAACATCCCTTTACATTTAGTTTTTTTTATGTAATTGAGGCACCATTGGACCATATAACGTCCATTGACAAGGTGACACAGTCGGTTGGAGCGGCGATAGTATAACAATCAATCTGAAGTCCGTTGTTCGAATCCCAATCTAGCCCCGATGACGTTATACACCCAGAATACTGTTGTTGATTATGTTTTGTTTATTTCATCTTTGTTACTTTCTAAAATACACGCATGATAAGGCTAGCATAACGAAAACGATTTGATCAAAGCTAAACATGCCGGAAAATGGCGTTTCCAATTGGTAGTAAGTGTTGTTACCAATGGTACAGAGATGCTTAACGTTAGAACGTAAAGTAGGCTTGGGAAACTAAGAAATTCACTTCTGATTATGGTTCGATTGGAAAACTGAGCAATTCACCTCCGGTTATAGTACGATGGGGAAGTATTTTTTTACGTTCGTAAAAGGTGTTAAAATGAGAGTTTAACAACATGAAAATAAAAAATGTTTTTAAGAAATATACATATTTTAAATGTTTTTAATAACTACAGATAAGTTTTGCCGTAATATGCAAAATAGGCAAACTTCAAACAGTAAATGATATTTGAATTAATAACAATTGTTCATTGAACATAAAGTGAATATGGTAACAATGGCATATAATTTACCATTTTTAATACCTTTGTGACTTTGTAATATATTTTATGGTGGCATATTCCTGCCACAAGTTAAATCAATTCGAAATAATTATGTCGAAAAATTATCAAAGAAGCAGCTAAAATATTATGATGTTATAAACAAAATGTGTATAGTTGAACAACACTTGTCATAGCTGTTCAAGTTATATCAAGAACCCTTTTTAAGACTTTTCGTAAACAGAAGCATTGCGTCCCTTATGAGTCATTCCTCGGATCATTTATGTTTGTCCTGTATATTAACTATCAACCCCACATCTTTAATTGTCGACTACTGACGACTAATATATGCATCTGGGGAAATGCTATAAAAGTAAAAAGGGAAGTCTGAAAATATATAAGCGAGAAACCAGAATTATTGATCAGTGTGGCTTTTTACACCTATTGGTCATATGTTCGGCACAATGAAGTGGGTTACTTTCACAAATGTATTTTCTACCCCCAGGCTTTACACATTTTCAAACATCTTAGCTCATTTTGTGTTATTACTTTCATGTTTTTTTCTGCAATTTCCTTTTCTGCGGTGTGGAATGTGCTAAACCGAATCTTGTTGAAGCGAAACTTTAAGAAATCTCATACATACCCGGGTCCTTTTCTATACATGTAATTAAACATGCAGTGATGTTTAATTTGATGTAACACATTTACATTTTGGGCAGGGTTGACCGTATGTAATGAGTTTTAGGCTCCATACTTAATCAAGTTTAGATTGAGACTTTCATCGTGTTAAGAAATATTGTTTCGGTACGTGTAATAAAAAGGAGTTCAACTAAATCGACGTCTGCTATTATCTGTTGAGCTGCCTCCATTTACATTGGTCATTTTCCTTTATTCTTGACCATACGATCTAAAGTCGTCATATTGCCCTATTAATCTGCGATAGAGGGCTGTCAAATTTGTTCAAATGAAATGCTTTGGTCGTCATTCAAAGTCACATGGGTAAGATATCTTAAAATCTATAAAATACTTCCTTTCAGGGAAGAGCCATTTAACATAAATTGTTAATATTTAATGATCACATAAAGACAAGCCAGCTTGGAGAATTTGTGAACCGCTTTGAGACGACCTACGAACTAGGTTGTGATAAAGGGGTATATAAAAACCTTTAATAATACTAATTATCATTATCATTATTAGAATGAATTGGTAGTAAACACTTTTAGACTCTTTCTTAGATATCATCGAAACACTTATAACTAATACGAAAAAAATTGTAAAAATATAGCTAATTATAATAAAATGTAACACAAAGTATATGCTGCAAAGGATGGACTCGACTGACGATATTGGGCTAACTATCAATGCTCAGTAGTGTTAGTGTAGAAATGTTGCCTTTAGGAACAGACACAGGTATTAACATGTTAATTAATGTTGAACACATTCTCATAGAAATTCATCTTGATATATACATCAAAAGTGACTTACCAGTTAGAATGATGAAAATTACCATCCTTGTTTTAAAAAGCCAGGATTCCATTCTAGTGATCAGAATAGGTGTACCCTCGACCCCGATGTGACTGAGCTCAGTTGGATTGCCGTTATATATTGTAATTTACCTTACAACAGATAACCAATAAGACACCTATTGACTTTTTCAGTGTCATATATTCTTTGGAATGAATTAACTCGATGACGGAAAAGCGCACTACGTAAATAGACTTTAAATTGTATTTGGCCTAAAACGATGTTTGTTTCTATAACATCTGCGCCGACGCAAACTATGTTTACATTTGTACTTTTTCAAAGCATTCTGAATTTTATAAAAGTTTAACTTTTAGATAACTGTGGTTTGTTCATCTTAGCATAACTTCTTCACCGCGAATTGAATGATCTTAAGGACTAGGTACATGTAAGGTCATAAAAGATATTTATATAATCAATAACATCAAAATTAAAACACCTTAAATGTTAAATTATGAAGAATGTTATACTTGAGCCGGGTTTCATTTGTTATTGATAAATGAAAATACTTGAATCTTTCAAAGGTTTTAAAAGTTATTTAGCGTCGCATTGATCATGATGCACCCGTGGAGGCGACTAATAAAGGCCCCCTGACGTATTTCGGGGTTTCGTCCTTGTCCTGCACTAAGGGACATTCATAAACCAAAATTAATCTGCTACCCGCATTGCAACACTCCATATGTATCATTCTTCTTTTCTTCCTAAATAATAATATTAATAGCAATTCGAGGTTCTTATATACCGCTTTATCCGTGGATATAGGGCCTTTGCAACCAGCCAATACCTTTCTCGATTGCCTTCGGAGCAAACAGCTGGTGCTGCCAGCTAACATTCAACAATTCTAGCACTGCCGAACCACGTACTCATTTACAGCTGAGTAGACTGGAACAAGCTAAGTATCTTGCTCAAAGATTCATCACAGTGCCGTGACGTGACTCGAAACCGCAACCCTTCTCTTTTAATTCGGCATTGTTTCCCTAGACAGCCGTCTTTTATGACGTCAGCAGTTTAACACTATCAGACCAACAAATCGACTATGATGAACTAAAACAATGACAATAACTAATTTGACAGGGTGAATTATAATGCTGACATGCCAAGACAATGACATTTAATAGTTTAGGTATTTTATAATATCTAATTAACATGTATAATCTATTGTTTATCTTTTCAACATTTATCTACCACTCAAATTCCATGTTCTCACCACGGTGGCATATTTCTGCCGTCGACCTACGAGTTACCTATAATTTCTGAGATATGTCGACATATTATCAGATTATGTATAAATAACGTCAATATAAAATAGTATTTTCAGAGATAAGTTTTCAGTGATATTTACCTCGTAAATAGTGAATAATAAAATGTAGCAAGTGGATGTACCATCAGAGCATTAACAGGATAAAAACTGATTTTCAAACCTACTTCATGCATGTTATTATCTCAACAAAATTAATCTTGAAAATTTGAAAATATGTCGACATTTTTAAAATAATAATGCCATACGTAAGTCGACTGTACTTTTTTGTATTAATGCTATGGTTTTTACCAGATAATGCTTCCCATCGAAGATTATAGGGAGAAAAGACAAAATACAAATGGACAGTATAATGTTTCTTTATAGCCTTATAAGCAGCGAGCACGACTAGTCAATTTTGTTTTGTTTTGTGACTTATTTTTTAGTATTATATATTTCTTTGATACCAATATATATAATATAATAATTATATTACATAAATTAAATCAACCAATACAATTAACACACCGATCAGCAGTTCCAATTCGAAGTTATTAAAACTCTTACTAACATTTTTTTTGAAACAAAAAGTGCATAAATACTAGTTTTACTTTTATTAACACAAGTGTGTTTTTTTAGATGATATCTATTTAAATACGTTTCTTTAAAATAAATATACCAGCATACATTCATACATGTATTAATTAATATTATTACAATATGGTAAATCTATTCGTATTCCGTTTCAATAAGTTATTTTAGATATTCTGTTCAAATACGATAAATCGATTTCGTACGTGTCAAAGTTAGTGCAAGTTCCTTAAAATAGTGCACACTAAAAAGAAAATCGAATGAAGAAACCTATTAAGAATACGTTGTTTATAATATGAGGTGGTTCTATCTATTCAAAGATATAAAAGCTTTTCAAGTGCTATTCGATATATCTGTTGTTCAAGTGTTTAAAGATAAATTTTCAGTTGGTAATAAAGAGTTTAAATAAACATGGTTGACATGTTAATTATAGACGACAGAATCACTTTGATGCCAAAAACATATTGTATACGTGGCAACTTTGTCCCTGTTTAAAATGAAAAACACGTATGTTCACACAAAGAGGGCCTATTGAATTAACAACAAAACTATGTGAATGTTATAATTGTCATTGATTAAAGTTCATTTACTTAGACGCTGTAAACGTGTTCTGAACCACGGGGTACCTGGTCCAGTAAGTTGCTTTTTTGTATTGCTACAGTAAAAAAAAAAAAACATTACCGTACAGACACATCGTCTATCATACTCTAAATAATATATATCAAGTGAGGTTCGATTTGTTTTTTTAAAGAACATATTTTAATGTTGTGCAGGTCATCGATTGTGTTATTTTTTTTTTATTGTAGATTAAAAACGTTAAACACAGTCAACTATTCCACAAGTCATTCAGCTACAGGTGAGAATACCAAAGAATAACCAAGTATCAACAAAGCTGTAATTCGAACTCAAAAAAGATAAAGCTAGGCCAAAACTATGAATAAAGGAAATGTTTACATAGAAAAAGAAAAATGAGAATATGACCAGATGTTCAGGAAGGGTAAGCGTCTTCTTCCTCGAAGACACCCGCCAAGTAAATAAAGATCAAATTCAAGCAATCACACGTTTTCGCATTGAGAACTCGGATTGTGACAACAAAACCACAAGGCACACTTATGAGCTACACAAAGGATCGACCTTCGTAGCAGAGAAACAGATATTAGCATATTTTCATGAGATCAGGATGGTGACAAGAAAAAAACCCCGGAAACACTGTGTTGTAAGTTTGTCCGTCAGCAGTCGACATCTATCAGAGAAGTCATGATATCGGAGCAACTGCGATGTGTAAAGACTGTAGGTAGGGGAAGTAGGGATGCAAAAAAGGGAAAGTTCCCGATCGGAAAGCCGAAGTCGTCCCGCTTATTGTACAGCTTACATATATGTAGTATTAAGCCATCCCTGTTGGTCAGGTAAAGATGACTAAAGCGACAGTAGAAGAGTCTGAAGAGTCTGTAGAATTATAGAGACGTAAAAACACATACCTGTTTATAACTCCGCTCTATCTATAAAGCACTGACCGACGTCATATTGTAACACGGAAACTTGTTTTTATTTTATAATTTTAATTCTACAGTGAACCAAATATGGCTATATATATTCCGCGGCAGTGAATTCACCAAAATTATTTTCACCAAATATTCAGTGCCTGTAACGTTTTATCTTTAAAATATATTTTGCTTTCCAATTTACCAAGCATCAAACTATACAAAATTTAGCCACATCATTAACTAGAAAATAATAATCAGTTAAACTAAAATGATGGTGGATGTTTTATTTATAAAAATAACAGAGCACAAGATATAATTTGAACATCAAAGTCCAGCGGTTATAGTTTTATTAATTACCTATTCAGCTTCACTGTCACAAAATTATGAATTTTGAATGCATTATGACCGAATTGATTTCTCGTAGCTATCCTATTCACATCGATTCGCCCCATACAGTGTAGGTGATGTCCGGCGGTACGTAACAACACTCGTTGGTCAAGTCGCTATACCAACGTGTATTACGTAATGTTGGTATGACAGCAGGTTTCACTTGCCGTAACAAGTACAATTCATAGTTATTTAAGAAATAACTAGTATTGTTTTGGAGGTTATAAAGTATATTCCGAAAAAGCCGTGTACTGTTTGTGTATAAACTACTACTCTGATTTACGCAAAATGTACATATGTTTCCCCCCAAAAGACATACAATACTTTTTGATCAATAGTTAACAAGTCTTTATGTATTTATACTGAAAAAAACATCTGTTTAGATCACAAATCAACATTGAGCTATAATTCCATTGTCAATCAACTTCAACCAATCAGAAGTTAAAATAATTAAAACAGCGCCCAACAATGCGGTATAGGACTTTATCTCTTTTTCTGTACTTATATTGTTTAAGTTATTTTAATCTATAGTAATACGATGTTACCTGAAGTCATTCATTGGGGAGTAACCAAAATTAAATGATTAAATATATAGCCCATAGCATTATGAACACATTTGGTGTCAGGAGTAAGGCAATGGACGTGGGGGGTGTCATCCTTTGCGATATATGGCTGATGGGGTGGTTGAAGCGGGGCCATTGGTGCTTATTGAGCCGAGTTAACAACTGATACGTGTCATGGCTGATCGACGTCATCTATAGAAAATAACTTCAGAACTTAAAGAGGAAGGCTTATTTGAACGCATGTAGTCTACATGTATACTATACACTTTGTCATGCCGTTACATGTGTTATTAGCCTGACCGTTGATTACATTTGCTATTACAGTCATAATTCGTAAAAAAATAATGACTAGAATTCTTACAGCATTTATAAATAGTTTAGTTAAAACTGGAATGTTTGACATTTTTATCTAAATAAATTATGTACATGATGTGTAAAAATATATACCATTACCAAACACTTATAATGTACAAATACAATTTGTTGAATGCAGCATTTAAATACACATTGACAATATCAACAACACACTGAAAAAATCATTAGAACAACAAGGTACAAAGGATTAGATTATGTGATCCATGTTTGCTATTTAATGTTTCAATATTGACTTTAAATTCAATGACAATAACAATGTTTATATATTTAAAAACAATTATATTTTCGTCGCCAAAAAATGAAAAGGTGATTGTTGATTTAACAGCTTGTTTATTTTAATTAAATACACAGCACAACATTTAAATAATACAGTGTTATTGATTGGTTATTTCTGCAGTGGCCTAGTTGTTGGTCCGAGGCCAGCTGATTTGGCCTGTGACAAATAACTAAGAAGAAAATCATGACAAACACAGAATTATTTATTGAATTAATATAGAATACGTTGATTCTCTTTAAAAATCAAAAAACAAAATAAACTTCTCCAGTCTGTCGATCCGTGACGCCTGTATCGACTCTTATATCAGAATGTCACTTTCAACTAAAACAATGGCCGTAAAATACTTTGTTTGTACAACCATTACGTGTAAGTATTGAATAAAACGTGTTGGCTTTCTACCAGGCACCCTGACTGACTGTCCAACTGTAAAAACCGTGTCGAAGATTTGTCTCTGTCCTGCAAGAAATACAAACCCTTCATCCCAATTTGATTCATATCGTTACTGAGGCAATTCCTCATCTGTCTTCCCCTGCTGGTGGGGGGTCGGGGAAAGATTACACCTGCTGTTAGCCACCGCATGTATCGTAGGAGGAGACTAATGGGGATCCCCCTGAAGCATTGAGGATTTGCTTTGGTGTCCTTTATTTGGGGACACTAAAGCAACAAAAATAAATCTGCTGCGCCCACTGCAATATTTGGGATCTTTATTTTTCTTTCTACTTCTAGCTACCTTTTATTTCCTTGCGCCTTGCTTGGCAACACCTCACTTTTCACTCAATAGCTTCTCACATCCGATCAGGGAATATTGTCTAAGCCGTTTCGGTGAAAGGTAAGGGCGTTATCTATTACGCCACCTGATCACCAAATATATATCACCTAATTGATCGATTGCTAAAAAACACAGAATTAAACGGTGATAATGTCATGAGATCTACTGTGATAATCGTTTTATTAAGTTAGCCGTTCCTCTGATAGTCCTCACGATGTCCGGTATTAAGATCAGTCCGAAGGGAACCACCATCATAGCAACTGCGACTAGTCCTACTGCTTTGGCGGACGGGCGGGGGTCAGGAGCGCTCGTCAATGTCCGCATGTGAGCTTCAAAGATAGAAACGAAAGATAGAATGTAATTCTCTCAACAATTCATTTTCGTGTGTTTATCATGCAATTATTAAGTTCAATTTTTTATGAACTAGTCCTTTTATATTCAACATGTGAAATCAAAATGAGTCATTCGTTAGTCCATCTTGTACTTGAATGTCCATACATTGTATTTTATTGTAGTCATTTTAACGCTTGTAACCCTTCCTTATATGACGTATTCACATTTGCTTTTCTTGATTTCCTGACAACCATTTCATAGTACACCTTTAATTGACACTTCAACAGGCATTTTGAATGGCCTTACATTCACTGTATATCGTCGTCTTATGAAACAAAATTATTTCATTCCCGCAAAAGAATAAAATAATGACTAATGTATCAATTATTCTACCCATAATGTTCTGATTTACCTGAAGTTTCCTTCACATCAACGAGTAGCGTATTCCTGATAGTTTGAAGCTTCGTATCTAGGTCAACTGCTAGGTTTCTCGCAGTACTGCTCCAGGGACAAAGGCAAACAGCTGCGAAAAATTAAATATTCGGAAAAAATAACAATTGTCTGACTTAAGTGTAAATGCATCATCAGTTGCTATAAAAGACGGTTAATATAGATCTTTTGCTAAATTTTACGGTCCCCTTTTTTCCAATCATTAAGTGTATGCACACAATGTTTCGGTTGATATAGTTAATACATCAATTTAAAAATGCAATGGCATATCGTTTCTAAACAAATATATTTATTTGCATCCGTCAATTATGAAAACCAACTGATGATATTCATAAATGCACAACGGTCTTAAATAGAGAAGTAATTTTACGTCCTGAAATGTCGATTCAAATGACAGCACTGTGCATGAAACGTGATGTTACGACGTATTACCATTACCTAAAATACCAGATGATTTCTGTAAATCATTTATGTTCAGCTAAGATGCCTTATCAACATTTGTCATACTTATACAGTATGTTTTAGGTTTGTTTGGTTTGTTTGTGTTTTACGTCCTATTAACAGCTATGGTTATCTAAGGACGTGCCAGGTTTTGGTGGTGGAGAAAAGCCGCAGTCCTCGGAAAAAACCCACGGACCTACGGCCAGTACCTTGCGACTGCCCAACGAAGGCCTGGAACCCGCGACTCAGTGGTGGAGGGTTAATGGTAGCAGAATGTCAGATGCCTTACAATATGAAGGAATGTATGTTTAGTTTTTGTTTATTTAAGATAAACAATCAATCGCTTACGGGATTTTATCAAGAATATCATTTTAGTCTGTTAAACACTTAACTTACTTGAACTATATGTTGATGTTTCCGTTGTTGTGGCAGTTGTTTCCTGAGTTGTATTAGTTGTTTCCGCTGTTGCTTTAGTTGTTTTCGGTGATGTTGTAGTTGTTTCCGGAGTTTTGGTAATTGTTTCTGGAGCTGTGGTAGTTATTTCCAGAGTTGAAGTAGTTGTCTCCGGTGTTGTGGTAGTTGTTCCCGGAGTTTTGGTAGTTGTTTCTGGTGCTGTGGTTGTTGTTTCTGGTGTTGTTGTAGCTGTTTCCGGTGTTTTGGTAGTAGTTTCCGGTGTTGTGGTAGTTGTTTCCAGAGTTGAAGTAGTTGTCTCCGGTGTTGTGGTAGTTGTTCCCGGTGTTGTGGTAGTTGTTTCTATTGTTGTGGTAGTAGTTTCCGGTGTTGTGGTAGTAGTTTCCAGTGTTGTGGTAGTTGTTTCCGGTGTTGTAGAAGTTATTTCCGTTGTTGTGGTAGTTGTTTCCGGTGTTGTGGTAGTTGTTTCTGTTGTTGTGGTAGTAGTTTCCGGTGTTGTGGTTGTTGTTTCCGGAGTTGAAGTAGTTATTTCCGGTGTTGTGGTAGTTGTTTCCGGTGTTGTAGTAGTTTCCGGCGTTTTGGTTGTTGTTTCCGGAGTTGAAGTAGTTATTTCCGGTGTTGTGGTAGTAGTTTCCGGTGTTGTAGAAGTTATTTCCGTTGTTGTGGTAGTTGTTTCCGGTGTGGTGGTAGTTGTTTCTGTTGTTGTGGTAGTAGTTTCCGGTGTTTTGGTTGTTGTTTCCGGAGTTAAGATAATTATTTCCGGTGTTGTGGTCGTTGTTTCCTCAGTACTAGTTGTCGTTGATATTGCTATCACTTTGTGAGTTGTAGTTATTCGTTGAGTAGTCATAGTTGTCATACAGGATAAATATAATAAAAAACGAAGTAATTATCTAACTTTATATTATATTCCAAGAATGAGTTACCTTTTATATAAAGATAGCCAGGCTATGTATCTTTTTATATCATTTAAGCGACCTATTTTATTGTATTCTAAAATACTTTAACCAAATGTAGTCATGGTGATATACTAACTTAAGTATCATGTTATTTTCTAGTAAATGTTATAAAAAGTTGTAATCACTGTATGTGTATTTGTTTGAAAAAGATAACGTATCAGCAAATGCATTTAACTCACAGGTACTTGCAGAACATAGGGCTATCAGGTTGTCATCACAACCTTTGTCTGACCATTTGAAGTCATGACTTTGCTTTATCCGCACGCAGTCTTGGTCCTGAGGGTCCGTATCATCGTTAGGCTGTCCCGATCGCCAGTTAAGAAATGTTAAAGAGTCTCCTTCCCATGTTTTATATTGACCTTCTATAATCTTGTCTGTTACGCTAATCCATAGTCCGTCACCGTCGCCAATGAAAGTATCTGCTAAGCTGATGAATGTAAAATAAGAGAGGCATTTTCAAAGGCCAACTAATAAAAGAAAAGTCACTGAAAACCTAATATTGGAACAAAAGTAAACAATATTTGGGTCGAGAGGGGCGATATATGTACAAAAGTAAGAATAGAACGAAAAGAGAAATACCAAATGTATTGCAAAGGTATTCTAACGTCACAGTAGTAGAGCGCACATAAGCCCCTAAAGAGAGTTCTGTCAAGAAGAATACCCTAATTTTGCAGAAACCAAGTGGAAATTACAGAAAGAAACATCATATTGAGCGGTCGTTATGAGGCCTTTTAATACCAGCTGGCAAATTAAAGAATTTTAAGGTATTCAAGAGTAAAAATGACAATTACACTTTGCTTTTGGACTGCGAAATGTCAATACCAATCAAAAGAATTTATTCATGGAAAGTATGGCGTTATCACTATGTACAATGTACGTGCCGAAAGTAATCGTCAACACGATCATCTAATATGAAAATATCTATCAATTTTGTTCACCCGTTAAGTAAATAGTGCCATATATAATTAAATTCAGTCATTGCTATTATTCTAAAATCAGCTAGTTGTTACAGTATTAAGCTCGGGTGGCGCAGTTTATAGTGCACTCGCGTTTAACCAAGATGACCAACCAGGGTTCGATTTTTTAATCGGAGATAAAAAGGTATTCTCTCTCTCTCTCTCTCTCTCTCTCTCTCTCTCTCTCTCTCGCGCGCGCGCGCGCGCGCGCACGCTTCCATCATGGCCAACAATTGTTGTGAGATAAAATAAAGATTATATTTAAAAAATGAAACGTCGAAAGTTTTTCTTACTTTCATGTGCAAAAATGGTAAACCAATTCTTTAAATAGAGGAAGTATATTGAAGTATCTTGGTTCTGACAATAGTGACTAACGTCATAAGTTTAAACGATTTGTAAAAACTACATCTAGTTATGGTCTGCCATGCTTTGCAAGCTTCCATTGTCAGTGACTTTAGCAGAGGTTAACCATGGATGACCTCTGTGGCTAAGTATGAATGAGACCAAATAAACAGATGAAAGGTAGGAGAGTACCCCGACACGATGCGTTCACAGTCGAACAGAACAAGTGTAAATTACACACAAATAATTTGGATAATTTGGTGAAATGCTCACGTGACGGTGGTGGTTATATATGTGGGGGCAATTCAACGAAGAAGGAACGTGCCATTATGTTAAATGTCAAAAATAGACGCGAAAGCATAACGACTATCCCCGTCTCATGATACTGTCAACGGCTGACAAGAAGTGTTAACCAGTAGTATATCAGAAAGAATGCAGAAAAAATCCATGCTCTAGATTTGTTGTGATTTTAACAATGATTTAATACTACCAACTTATATCAGCATATAGTCTAGATTGTACTGATAGAGGACACGGTTTAAGGTAATAAAGAACGAATGAACATAGATAATGATTATAATAGTAAACCTAGATACATGTATATAAAAAACATAGAATTATCTCAGTTGAAAAATTGTTAATCACAGATGAGGATATGGTGAATTCTACGTACAAAAATAAATTATTGACCGTAATAATATAATTTTTCACAAACATTTTTTTCGAACATGTAATTTCAATACATCATTCAAATGTTCAAGCCAAATTCTCAATATATGCGCAACAAATATATATGGAATAAATGTTCACACCTAGATAAGGAAATATGTTTTGTATGCCCCGCCACGAAGCGATCCGGGTCATATAGGGTAACCTTTGTCTGTTCTTACGTTTAGCCGGTTAAGAATATGTATTCAAGTCAGTTATAGACAACTATCAAATTTTCCTTTTAACACAAACAATGTATACGTATTAAACGTGCCGCAACGTTTCAAGACAGACTAGTTCCTTTGTCAAACTATGACTGAATGACCGATTTGTATTTTTACCTGTTCAACGATGTGACGAAATTGTATATTTTAACCTTGAAATCACATATTTCCAAACTGATGAATCTTATTGATGTTATAAACAAAGACAAGTACTGCACACAATCTCACATATTTATCATCCTTACTGAGTAAAATGTGTTGCATGTATGTAGCCTTGACATTTGACCCTGACCTCTGTGAACTTTATTACGTGTTTGCCTTTAATGTCATAGGATTTTTTTGTATTTTTGATAAACGGAAATAGGAAGTGCATCCCTAGTTGAAAATCCAATGTAGGGAGACAGTATCACAATTTCCGCATATTCTGATGTTTAATATTAAACTAATAAATATTGCATGTTTATTATTGACAGAACAGTGTGTTCTCTCAATATTAAAGTATTTCAAAGCAATCCAGGCATTAATTCAGTTGTTTTTTTATCAATGAGTCCCATGTGTCCATTTTTCTGTACTTCAGGAACCCGGCTACCTATTTCACTACTGTGAAGTTTTTCCAAGAACGATAACTCTTTACATGCAATTACTATATGTACATGGTTTTATTATAAAATGTCAATTTTTAAACGTTTATAGATAATTATTTTTACACAATTTCAGCATTTATTAAATTGATATACATTAATGCAATACTAATCTATGTCAGTATCATTTTTATTGACATTATTTTGCCTAAAATTGTGTCTTTCATTTTTTTTTCAAAACTCACTGCTTTTTACATAAATTTTAATTTCAAATCCTTTTAATTCTGACAACCTTTATTTTTTTTGTGGCAGAACATTTTCTTTACTTTAACGCAATATAACTACAAAATTGGAAGAAATTCTACTGAGAAATGGTGACACAATCCTATTACCTTTTAAGCTACTTAAACATGAGCATTGGCTGTGTTTCACTTTGTGTGAAGTAACGACCCCGGGCCCACGGTATGCCTAGGGATAACCCGCATTGTGCAGAATAAACATTTTGAGATGAAATTGTTATCATTGTCAACTTAAATCAATATCGTCATTACTTAATTTTCTTTGTTACGTCTCAAAAATATTCCATAAATTGCTTAGTCTTTAATATGCATTCAGAACTGGTAAATCTTATTCCGGATATTCTATTAATAAATCTTTAAAAATCGTCTTACTTTATTGCGACTCCATACCACGTTGTCAGAGCAGTATTGATCTCTGCACTGGATATGACCGCTAACTTGCCATCGTTTTCCCTACAGGATTTGTCACTCGTGTTGACACTGGCCTTGGTAGTTGTTGCCCAGAAACAAATGTCATAGTCTGGAAGATGCCATGCACCCAAAGGAAAAGCTGAAGCAGGATAAAAACATATTTTTTTTAAAAAGAATCTAACATTCTTAATCTATTGGTTTGTATACAGTGTATATTATACTTCAAATAATATGAAATATTCGCCCTTCGCCAGTAAAAGTTCACCTGGGGTTCATTTCACCTAACGCAGTGAGCAGTACTGCTTTATGTATTTAATTTTTATCATCTTTATAACGACCGATTCCTCTTAGTGGCTCATATAAAGAGAATAAAACATGCCTTTTTCCATATCACACCCAGTATCAACCCTCGGCTATTATCAGCCCTGGGGCTTTCGGCCCTCGGGCTGATATTGGAGTATTGGGTTTATACTGGGTGTGATATGGAAAAAAGGCATGTATTATTCTCTCTATATAAGCCACTAAGAGGAATCTGTCGTTATAAAGATGATAAAAATTAAATTGAGGCGAACATTGTTCTATGTAGAGTGAGTGTTGATAGAGCAAGGAACAAATATCAATCATACACGGAGGGAAACATTAGTAAGTTAAAAGTAAGAAGCCGTGAAAACTGAAACCATAATTAAATAAAATAACATAGTTTATCCCATACCCAGCATGTGTTATCACACGCTAGGGTCATTGGGTATTTGTACATACAACACGTTGTATATGACCAAGGAGTGATGTGATTGGTCGTAAATTTGAACTTTGACCGAACTACTTTTTGGCACGTGTTCGCCACGCGGTAATGTTTACATCTGTCATCTGTCGTTTGTTCGATAGGAATATGTCGGAGTGAAAACTGGCGATGTTGTAAGGATTGATTGGTACAGTGACCCAAGTATCAAGTGATAGGTTTCAGATAAAATTAAAAGAGTCGGGTAAAGTCGTGACAGAACCCAGGTATAGGTTTGGTGTAATTTCGTCATGTTCTGGCCGAATTCGTGAGGCCGGTTCATAGAACGCAGGTGTCTCTGTAGATCAAGTAGAATCTGACCATGATTCTCTTGATGATTTCGATGTTAACGGGTTTATTGAAGCTGAACAAAACAAGAACACATTGAGGAAAACCCAACATGACCTGAACAGGTTTTGTACATATCTTGAAACCTTCAAAGAGAAACGACCCATTGAAACTATACCCCCTGCTCAGCTGAACAAGCTGATATGTGTTTTTGTGTACATGATAATTGTTTCTTCCCCGGAATTTGCTTAAGGCGGAAAGGGGAATTTACAGAACAGGGCTGACGCACTGACTGACACTGATA